TGTGCCTACATCAGAAAATTAGATGTTTCTCATGTTAACAACTTATGAAGCAGTTGGAAGCCTTGAAAACACCAAGAATGAACAACATCTAAAAAAAGTAGATTGGAAAAGATAAATAAAATCAAGGCTAAAATTAATGAAATAGAAACAATACAAAGAATCATTGAAAGGAAGAGCTGGCTCTTTGAAAAATCAACAAGATTTACAAACATATATGCAAATTAACCAAAAGAAAGACAGAGAGGACCCAAATTTATAAACTAAGAGATGAAAAGGGAAACATTAAAACATACTCTGAGAAAATTCAGGAAATCATAAGAACATATTTTAACAATCTATATTCCACTGGGTGGTGGTGCACACATTTAATCCCAGCACTCAGGAGGCAGAGGCAGGTGGATCTCTATGAATTTGAGCCTAGCCTGGTCTACGTAGCAAGTTCCAGGCCAGCTGGGGCTACAGGAAAACCCTGTCTCCAAAAGCCCAAAAAGAAAAAAAGGAGAGGAAGCAGTTATGTCAGATGCCTTATAAACCAATTGTGTTAGGACTAGAGGGAGCCTTAAGCCCAGCTGTTGGGCATTTTCATCCTTCATTCTGCAGTTCATGCCCTGCTGAGCCTAGCCTGGTCTACGTAGCAAGTTCCAGGCCAGCTGGGGCTACAGGAAAACCCTGTCTCCAAAAGCCCAAAAAGAAAAAAAGGAGAGGAAGCAGTTATGTCAGATGCCTTATAAACCAATTGTGTTAGGACTAGAGGGAGCCTTAAGCCCAGCTGTTGGGCATTTTCATCCTTCATTCTGCAGTTCATGCCCTGCGGATTTGCAGCATGAGCACATAGGCCCTGCAAGCAGGAAGAACAGCTCTGTTTCCGCCAATCTTCTCAGCATATGTAAAGTTGTCAAGTTGGGGCACAGTAACACATAAAGTCTCACAGATTTGCTTGATTGGGAATAGGTATTGCTTTATTTCATTCCTCCCCTCAAAAATATCTTATTAGTGGTTTCCAAAGCTCCCATGTCATAGAGCAAAGTTGGGCAAATGCCATGGGCTTCAGTCCCCGAATCCAAGACATGGACTCCCATCTGTTAAGGCTATAAAGCAAGCGGTGGCAAAACACCGTCTCGTCTGGCCATTTCTGATTTCACACTTGAAGTCTCTTCGTTAATGTAGCTCTGGCCTCATCACATACCTGTCTAGTGAATGTCAGTGTAGTAATGATAGAATTGCTTTTCTGTGATAGACACACATGTAACAATCCTAACTCAAGGTACGGCAACTTACTGAGCAAGATTTTCTATCTTCTTTCTCTCAGACTGACTGGCCTGAAGGCTACCATCTATCAAGTGCTATGAACTTCCTTTGGCCCCAGTGCATTCCTAATAACTTAAAGACCTTGATTCCAGATGCTAGCAGTGAAGCAATTCAGCTCCTGAGAGACATGCTTCAGTGGGATCCCAAGAAACGACCAACGGCTAGTCAGGTTTTCCTCTATTTATTTATTTTTTTCTGTTCAAAGCATTTCTTATGAAGTCTATACTGAACTCTGAAAATTTTCTATAAATTGCAAATGGGAAATTTTTTATTTAATATTATGGATGAAAAATAGTACTGACTGCTACTTGTGGTGTATTCTATAAGGTATAAGAATTTTAAGGTAACCTGAGACTTACTGTATATAGTTAAAAGTAGTTATAATTGAACAGTACATTTCCTTTAACATTAGCGAAATATAGTTCACATAATATATCACAATACGTGATATATGGTATGATATTTAATCTGGAAGTGAGAATAAACATAAATTTGTCAAAGAATAAATAAAAAAATTTACAAAAAGTAATCCATTTGTGTTTGGAGATGTTTTAAATATACTGTCTAGGAGTTAAGATTATGTAGTATGTCAGGCTTGGTAGCACACGCTTTTAATCCCAGCACTTGGGAGGCAGAAGCACGCAGATCTCTGTGAGATCAAGGCCAGCCTGGTGAGTTCCAGGCTAGCTGAGGCTACCAAGAGACCCTGTCTAAAAAAAAAAGTTCAATGATAAGTCAGTATTAGCTGCTAAAATATTTTTTATGAAGTCAACTCACCCATTGTACAGATGGCATAAGACAGGAGAAAAATAAGATGCAGCTAGCTAAGGGCTGCCACCAGCACTTTGCTGCACTTGGCACATAATATTCCTTAGTATGTTGTATACAACCTGACGAAGACTAGGAGCTCTTCATATTTTTGTTTTCACTTCTGTGGTGAGAGAAGTAAATCCCAGAAAGTTTGAATGATTTTCCCTAATCAGGTGTTTAGTAAATGATACAGCCCTGTAACCACCTATAATCCAGTTACATAGGTGTTAGGGCGTCTGAATGTCTTTGTGCCTCCCATCTTCTCTCCCACCCTCTCCCAGGCTACATTGATGAGGTAACACTGTAGCCCTGACCACTTGTCTCATCTGCTCCCCTCACCAAAGCCTGATTTTGAAGGTTATGTTTGAAACTTTGTCTCATGAATAATTGCACTGCTTAAAGCATCAAGTAAATGAACAGTTCCAGTCAGAGAGCATGATTTGTGATCTTGTACCATGAAAGTAAGAGCTATATGCAGAAAGTGCAAAAGTGATGTTAGAATTTGCTGGAGAAGTGGCAGCTGGGGAATAATGAAGTGGGGTCAAAGAGCTCTTTCTGAAGGGTAATCTATAATGTGCTGCATATGACTCTGGCTGGCTCAAGAGGGTTTAAAGTTCAGAAATGCACTGATGATGGTGAAATTCACAAATGGTTTCAGGGCAGAAAGGAGAAAATGTCTTTTTCTCAAGGGCAATCTATAATCTGCTGCTTAAGACTCTGGCTGGCTCAAGAGGGTTGAAAGTTCAGAAATGCACTCCTGATGGTGAAATTCACAAATGGTTTCAGGGCAGAAAGGAGAAAATGTCTGAGGAGTCACTTAAAAAAAAAGCAGGTAAAAGATGAGATTAATAAAACAACAACAAAACTTCTATAACCAAGAAGCAAGGAAAGAATAGTGTCAGGACAGCTAAAAGTACCCCACATCAGACCAGATTTGCAAAATTGCCCAGAGCTACAAAGAATTCTTTTCAAGTTACATGCCAGAATGTAAGACCTCTGCTGGGGTACCCACATTATTTGATTCTGAGTTTGCACTTACATATAGTAATTACAGATGTTTATAACTTATAGCCCAGACTTCTTAATACGTATTGTTATTGTCAATGGCTTCTACAAAAAAAAAAAAACTTAGGAGACTACATAATATTTAATAAAGAATTGTAATCCCCAAGCACTTAAGGCTTAGCCCTTGGTTATCCAGAAATCTTTGTCCAGAAAGCTTGATACCAATTGGCAACTAAACCTTGTCTTACTGGCGAGGCTTAAGTGTATCATGTATTGTGTTCTTGGTGCTTTCTGAGTAAAGGCAGGTAAACCACCTTATTTTCTACTTGACTTTTCAGAGCCCTCCCAGGTCCTTGTGTTCAGCTCTTTCAGTGTTTTTCTTTTGTTTTTTTCTTTGTTTGTTTTGGTGTTTTTCAGACAGGGTCTCCCTATGGCCACTGTTGGCCTGGAACTTGCTTTGTAGACCAGGCTGGCCTCCATCTCACAGTGATCCACCAACATCTGCCTCCTGAGTGCTGGGATCAAAGGTGTGCACCACTATGCCTGGCCTAGCTCTTTCAGTTTCACATTAATTTTTCTCTTTCAGTAGAATAAGAAAATGAGCTCAGAAAGGTGAAGTTTGATGTTTAAGACCCATGACAGCATCTTTGTTTAGCTAGACTACTTTGAGAAGTGGCAGACATGAGAGCAGTATAACTGTCTGCTTTGTTGTTGTTGTTGTTGTTATTTTATGAGCTAAGATCATAGTAGTCCAGCCTGACCTTGAACTTACTGCTTAGCCAAAGCTGGCCTTTATCTTGTGATCTTCTTTCTGATCCAGCCTCCACTAGTGCTGGGAATACATGTCCATACTTTATCAAAATAACTTTTAAGTGCTTCAATTAATATGTAAATTTTATGTCAATATGGTAAAACAGAGGGGGTTACCAGTGCAGAGTGCTGATTTATAGCTGGTTTGGGCTTAGAACCTGTCATAAACTGGTCACATGATGGTCCAGTGACCGTCATGGTGATTCGTATCCTGGTTAACACTTTTCCTAATGCCCCATTTGCCATTCCAGGCACTTTGGTACCCTTACTTCCAGGTTGGACACCCACTGGGCAGTACCACACAGAACCTTCAGGATTCAGGAAAGCCAGAGAAAGATGTCCTGAGAAAGGCAGGCCCACCTCCTCATACCAAGCCAGCCCCTCCTGCCCAGCCCCCAACCCAGATACATACTCTGGCATCTTCACGACCACATCAAATCAGTCAGCCTCCTCCATATCTTGTGTACCCCTATAAAGCTGAAGCTTCCAGGGCAGATCAGCTGACCCATCTTCAGGAGGACAAGCCAAGCCTACTCTTCCCATCCCTCCACAACAGGAATCCTCAGCCCGTAAGTGGCCAGGGTTTACCAGGGAGGTGTGTCTCACTTGTTTCTCTTCTAACCACAAGCATTGTGTGAAATGTTTTCTTTTTCAGTTCATAAGGTGTAATTCATTTATCTTTGCAATAGCATGGCATTGTGAAAAAGCCCTTGGTTCCAGGTCTAAATTCAGTTTCTGGCTTTTTCTGTTAACAGTACCACTGCTGGTGGCAAATATGTAGTGGTGAGTAGTGGTGGCCAGCTGGACCCTGTAACCAGGTTCTGCCCTGCAGTAGCCTGATTGCCTGAAGCGAGTTACTTGGCCTCTCTTCTTCCATTTCACCTGTAAAACAGACAGTTCCGGTGTCTACCTAATGTAATTGTTTGAGAACTGAATGTTAATGCTTAAGAGGGATTTAGAATAGTACTCTGGCATCTTCACGACCACATCAAATCAGTCAGCCTCCTCCATATCTTGTGTACCCCTATAAAGCTGAAGCTTCCAGGGCAGATCAGCTGACCCAGTGTTAGGCATTGCCGTCCATCCCTACAGACTGTCTCTTCCTCTGAAGAGGAAGATCTGGTGAATGGCTTCCCCACCAGAATGGGTTGTTCATGAGGATTAGGAAATCCTAATGCTTATCATTGTGTGAAATATTTTCTTTTTCAGTTCATAAGGTGTAATTCATTTATCTTTGCAATAGCATGGCATTGTGAAAAAACCCTTGGTTCCAGGTCTAAATTCAGTTTCTGCCTTTTTCTATTAACAGTACCACTGCTGGTGGCAAATGTGTAGTGGTGAGTAGTGGTGGCCAGCTGGACCCTCTAACCAGGTTCTGCTCTGATTGCCTGAAGCAAGTTGCTTGGCCTCTCTTCCTCCATTTCACCTGTAAAACAGACAGTTCCAGTGTCTACCTGATGTAACTGTTTGAGAACTGAATGTTAATGCATAAGAGGGATTTAGAATAGTGCCTGTTACATCATAGAACTCAATGTTAGGCGTTGCCATCCATCCCTGAAGACTGTCTCTTCGTCTGAAGAGGAAGATCTGGTGAATGTTTTCCCCACCAGAATGGGTTGTTCATGAGGATTAGGAAATCCTAATGCTTATGAAGATGCTTGAAAACCAGGAGGACCTAGAACCTTGCTGACATCTGTAGACTAACATATTACTACTATAGATGGATGTGAATGCTGAGCTATTAATTCAGCACAGATCTTGCTTTTCTTGAGCTAGTTTTCCAGCAAACAATGTACATTAGTTCATAGAATCTATGCCAATAGTAACCTGTAGTTATCTTTTGCTTTGTAATGCTCTCCAGAGTCTGACTCTCTAAAACCTTATGCAAAAGAGGTAGGTGCTTTTTCTGACAACTAACGATTCACCAGACTCCCACCCAGTACCTGTCTGTTTGAGAACTGAATGTTAATGCATAAGAGGGATTTAGAATAGTGCCTGTTACATCATAGAACTCAGTGTTAGGCATTGCCACCCATCCCTACAGACTGTCTCTTCGTCTGAAGAGGAAGATCTGATGAATGGCTTCCCCACCAGAATGGGTTGTTCATGAGGATTAGGAAATCCTAAGCTGGTTTCCCTACAATAGCAGGGTGGCTAAAACTTGTCTCTATTGTAGCAATAAGAACCCTTTCATAAATGAGGCTCAAGTTAGCATCCAGCCATCTTCCTAGTATAAAAGTAGAATCTTAACTTTCTGGCTGAGCTATTAATTCAGCACAGATCTTGCTTTTCTTGAGCTAGTTTTCGAGCAAACAACGTACATTAGTTCATAGAATCTATGCCAATAGTAACCTGTAGTTATCTTTTGCCTAGTTTTGATTCTTGACTTGACCTAATGTAGAATCACCTGCTAAGGGGATTCTATACCCTCAGTGTGAGCAGCACCATTTCATGGGCTGGGCAGTCTCTAAAACCTTATGCAAAAGAGGTGCTTTTTCTGACAACTAACGATTCACCAGACTCCCACCCAGTACCTGTGGATGTCCTCAGAGGCTGTGGGCTCCTGTCTCTTGGCACTTTCCTCTTCTCACAATTGGGAAGTGGCCTTTTGGGAAATGTCCTGTTGTTAATTCCTGTACTTCAGAGATAGTTCCCAGGCCTGCTGAGAAGCCACGGGAGTCATTGTTTGCACTGGTTTCCCTACAAGAGCAGGGTGGCTAAAACTTGTCTCTGTTGTAGCAATAAGAACCCTTTCAGAAATGAGGCCCAAGTTAGCATCCAGCCATCTTCCTAGTATATAAGTAGAATCTTAACTTTCTTACAAGAAATGTCATCGTCACAGGATACAGAGACAGAAGGCCTAGGTCTGCAGTTTGCACAGTTACACTGTCAAACAAGTGATGCTTTTCAGAGAGTGCTGTACTCCAGGATCCTTCTTTTTGTAACAAAGGAAATTCAGAATAGAAATTACTGATGGAGGGATTGAGGTTGGTCATGGCTCAGTGTATCACCTTCAAGTACAGCACCTGTGTTGTATGTGCAAGGCCAGGGATTCGATCCCCAGCATGCGCACATGTGCTTGCACACATACATACACACATGTACACACTCATACAGAGAGAGAGTGAGAGAGGACAGAAGAGAAAGAGAAAATGAGAGACTACTAGTAGATGAGCTCTGTTAATATGCTTTTTTCTTTTTCTTCCCCTCTTTTTCTCTATACAGAAAATCCTAGTTGGCCCGGAACACAAAAATGGTGAGACCAAGCCAAAGTTGAATAGGAGAAGGTGGGGTCTGATTTCCCGGTCAACGAGGGGGTCTGATGATTGGGCTGATTTAGATGACTTGGACTTCAGTCCAGCCCTGACCAGGATAGATGTGAAAACCAAGAAGAGACAGAGCGATGACACTCTCCTCAGGCAAGTGCACTGCTTGTGCCTGCAGCAGACTGCATCGGGATGCGGGTCCTCTGCACCTATCTGGGCATTTCACACCTCTGTCCTGAAACTCTCTTGATTCAGATTTGAAAGTGTCTTGGATCTGAAGCCATCCGAGCCTGTGGGTACCGGAACTAGTGTCTCCACCCAGGCTTCCTGCCAGAGGGGAGACACACCGACCCTGCGGTCTGTGGCGAAGCAGCACTACCTGAAGCACGCTCGATACTTGCCTGGTAATAGGAAGGGCTTGCTGCACTTTGCTCACTCACATGAAATCCCATCCTTGCAATCACACACTTACAAAGGTTCTGTTTCAGAAGGCGAGTACTTCCTTGCCTCGTTTGACACACAGATATGGATGGCATCATGCCACTCCAGGTCAAAACCTTTTAAGCTTTCCATTCTTATGAAATGAAATCCAGATTTGTGACAGGGCCCCAAAGAGACCTCATGCTGTATTCTGCATTGCCTCCCTAGTTGTTATCTCTGCACACACTGGCCTCAAAATGGGGTCTTGGGGGAGTTGGGGATGGGGATGCAGGACAGGAGAGCGGGGACGGGACATCAGGGACATCATAGGATATTTGGGTTTTGCATTTTTTTCTCACATTGGCAACTTGAGATGAGAAATCTGGTATAGAAGACTGAGTTTAGCCTCTAAGGATGAATTGGTAAGAACTAGGCAGCATGCCCGAAGCCTCTCTCTATCAACCCAGATATAAAAGAAATTAGCCAGGAAATCAGGGTAGGAGCTTAGTCATGCTTTCTGGGTAGTACCATAGGAACTAAATGTCAGTAGTATAATTTGATAACGGCCTGAGGCTCTCCAAATTCCTCATATCCCAACCTCATAGACTGATGGAGACTGTGTTCTCTGATGTTCATCCCTCCATAGTTCTTCCATCTGTCACCCTGCCCTCTGGTAACTACTTTTTCTCTTTTTTTGGTCTTTTTGAGATAGGGTCTCTCTGTAGCCCCAGCGGTCCTGGAACTCACTATGTAGACCTTAAAAAATTATATTTGTATACTTGGGGTGTGTGTGTGTGTGTGTGTGTGTTTAGATTCTATATATAAATGAGATCATGCTTGTCTTTTCCTTTGTCTCACTTTGTTTCACTTGGCGTAATGTCTATGTCTTGGCAAATTGCAAGAACGTGTGCTGTTTAGGACAGAATAATATTCTATTGCATAAATGTACCATAGCCTCTGTCTTAGTTTGTATTTTAAGCTCATTTCTTCTCTCTCTGCTAGGTATAAATATAAGAAATGGCATACTTCCAAATCCCAGCAAGGACTTTATTCCATCAAATCCATGGTCCAGTTCTGGTTTGTCTGGAAAATCTTCAGGGACAGTATCTGTAATCAGCAAAATAAATTCAGGCAAGTAATGATTATTAAGTCCTAAATGATGAAAAACACATATCCGGATGTGGCAAGAGGAGCATAGAAGTCTGCAGAGGAGGCCCCCAGGTACGAGGCCCAGGCCTCCCTTGGCTGCCCAGCCTTTTGCTCCCTTTCTTGGCCCTTGGGGCTCACCCTGCCCCACATGGCTCTGTCCTCATAAGAGATAGGGAGTGGAGACTGAGTCTTCCCTAGCCCCAGGGAAAACCAAAGATAACTTTGCAGACTCCTGAGGTCCTACATCTGAGGCCCAAGGCCATTGTTGAGTGTCTGTGTTCCAGCTGCTCCAGGGCATCAGAGTCCCTCCCAGTTGGAAGGTGGGAAGATTGTTAGACTCTCCCTACTCTTTGTTAAATAAATCCTCCAAGAGGATGACCTTGTTCCCATTAGACCCGCCCCTCATCCTGTTCGCAGGCCCACAGATGGCCGGCCCATGCACCTAATAAACACCCAGCCTTCACTTCCCTCCACCTTCTTCCATTAGGGTTCGTTCCCTAAAGGAATACAGTGCCCATATGCCCATCATGCCACTGAAGAATTTTTCCAACACATTTGAAGCCCAGAGTCCAGCTAGGACTATCTCTCCCCAGCTCCATCCCAGCCCTGATTTGGATGTTAACTATTTCCATGCATTTAGAAAATACATACGAAATTCAGTGTGGTTTTGCTCTTTTTTTTTTCTCTTTTTCAGACAGGGTCTCCCTGTAGCCCCAGCTGTCCTGGAACTCACTATGTAGACCAGGCTGGCCTTGAACTCACAAAGATCTGCCTGCCTCTGCCTCCCAAGTGCTGGAATTAAAGGCGTGTGCCACCACACCTGGCCAAGTTTATATGAACATGATCCTGGATTGCCACTTCATTTTAATGAATATGTGTTTGCAATTGTATGTACTTATCATAGATTATATAATAGAGTATCAGTTGCTATATGACTAATACCATGGTTTATTATCTGTACTGGATCATTATTTATTCCTTTTCTTCTTGGCAAGCACATACTGTGTTTTTTTTTTTTTTTTTGTAATTATCCGTACTGGATGATTGCTTATTCCTTTTCTTCTTGGCCAGCACATACTGTGTTTAGTTTTAGCTTGTGGAAGGAGTGCTGACTGGACGTGACTGCAGCCCTGTTGCTGTGCACACCGGCTCGTGGTTCTCTTGTGGACTGACTCAGCATTCTAGGTTAAAGTGCGGACCCATTCTGACTTGGCATTTTCTGCCTGATGCTGCCTAATCGCTCTCCAGCAGCATGTAGGTGTGGTGCTTCAGCCTTGGTGACGCTTGGTACTCAAGACTAAAATGGGCCCTAATCGCACCAGGTGTAAATCATATCTATGCCTGAACATGTCTTGTTAATAATGAGGTTCGCTTTCCTTTTCTTGTGCTTATTAATTCTGGCTTTTCCCCTTTCCATTTAAACCCATTCAAACTCTCTTTTCATTTTGCTTCTTATCTCCTTCCTAACCAGTACAGGACATTGTATGCCACCTGGCCAACACATTTACTTATAGGTACCAGGACATATTCCCACTCTGCCTTAAGCTTTCCTGTAAAGACAAAGCAACTGCACCGCTAACACTTGCTCACAGGTGGAACTTTTATCTGTATGATATCCACTAATCCCACTCTTTGTTACTCCTTGTATATATCTTAAAGCCTCAATGATAAGCATTATATTCATTCATCCATGAAATGTTAACTGATTACCTGCTCTTTGCAAGTACAGTTTCTTCCTTTAAGACATTTTCAAATAGAAATGGTATAAATCAGCTGTGCTTGGTGGCAGTTGCTTGTAATCTGAGGACTTGGGAGGCTGAAGCAGGAGAGCTGCAAGTTTGAAGCCTGGGCTAGTGAAACTACCTCAAAAAAGAAAGGAAAAGAGAGGGAATGGAGAGAGGAAGGGAGGGAAAGAGGATAAGGGAGCGGGGCTGGACATCAACAGTGAGGTTGAAAGGTATTTTTATTGGGAGATGGCAAGATCACTCAGTAGACGATGGTGCTTGCTGTGCAAGCCTAGAGACCTGAGTTCAGTTCCTGGAACTCACATCAAAATGGAAGGAGAGAACTGACTCCACAGAGTTGACCTCTCCATGTCCTCTGTGGCGTACACCCCCCCCCACACACACACAGACACACAAAATAAGTACAAAATTTCTCTTTTTTCTTTTTCGCTCTTTTTGAGACACTCAGTAGACGATGGTGCTTGCTGTGCAAGCCTAGAGACCTGAGTTCAGTTCCTGGAACTCACATCAAAATGGAAGGAGAGAACTGACTCCACAGAGTTGACCTCTCCATGTCCTCTGTGGCGTACACCCCCCCCCACACACACACAGACACAAAAATAAGTACAAAATTTCTTTTTTTTTTTTCGCTCTTTTTGAGACCGGGTCTCCCTGTAGCCCCAGCTCACTTGGAACTCACTGTGTAGACCAGGCTGGCCTTGAAATCACAGAGATGTGCTTGCTTCTGCCTCTCTAGTACTGGGATTAAAGGCATGTACCACCATGCTCGGCTACAATAAGTACAAAATTTCAATGACATTTTTATTAATGGTTAGTTTTTCTGATTATCAGTAAGAATATTTTTTAGTGTCTATTTTTAACAGCTATGTGTTATGAATCATTAAGAGAATCAGTTAAGTAAATCGTGTTCAGTTATCCTTCAGAATTTGATGTGAAAGGCTGTTCTGTACCCTGGGGTAGGAAAAGTTTTAGAACAGGCTAACCCTCTTTTTAGCAAAGGTCAGGGGAACAGCCGTGCACCTCCTCTGGTTTGGCATCCCTCTGCCTAGCTGCCGTGAGTGGGAACCGCTTTCTCTGCCCGTCCTGCCTCTAGCAGTGGTACGTGCAGGGCTCTGATCAGAAGTCACTGTTCTCATTGGGATTCGTTTTCCTCCTAAAAGTAGAAACTTATTATTGTGTATTGACGTTGTGGAATATATCTTCATAGTAATAGGTTTCCATCTCTTAGCTATTGTGTAAAGAGCAGCAACAAACATGGATGTACAAGTGTCTCTGCAATAGGACGAGTTCTTTGGGTATATGCCAATGAGTGGTATAACTGGGTCA